CAAGCTTTTCCAAGCTTGTCAATCTGGATCACTGTTTTGTAATAACAAATAAATTCTTCAATTTAAGAGGAAATGTAGGATGGAGATTAGGAAGAACTTTCTGATTATGAGGGTGGTCAAACATTGGAGCAAGCTACCTAGAGACAATATGGAATCTCTGTTCCTGGACATTTTTAGGAGCTGGATGGATAGACACTTGGGTGGGATGTTTTAGTCAGGGATGATCCTGCCTTGAGCAGGGGGCTGGACTAGATAACCTTGTAAGGTACCTTTCAGCACTACTTTCCTATGATCCTGTAATTCTATTTCTTTTTGTGGGAGTGAAAATATATCCTAAAATGTTGCAGAGGACTGGAAAGTTGGCCATTGAATAAAAATCCATTTTGTACATTTGCAAATTATTGGAGAACAGGATGGAGAACTACAACTAAGAGGTTTTATACCTGGCTTTGCCAATGAGTCACAGCTTGAATTTGAGTAAAGTGCCTAATGGGACAAATTCTCAGGTGCTGTAGCTTGATATACGTCTAATAATTTTAATGAAGCCACACTGATGTATAGCAGCTGAGGATCTGGGACAACAAGTCTCTTCAGTTATAAAAAATATCATTAACACACAGGCTACCTGGTGGTATCTTGTGTTGAGGTCAGTAACACTCAAACTTCCAGAAATGAAGAGTTAGAGTAGTTCAAGTTCAAACCTCTGAAAACCAGGAGTTACAGGGGAAAGGCACAAAGTTATGTGTTCTTAACTCTGTCTCCTTGGAACTGACAGTAACCAGTGGAGGTGATATGCATGCATCAGTTATATTAAGCATGTCTCTATGGAATAGTGGAAGGATTAGTTGGAACAGCTTCACAGAACTTTGATTGTCATAGCAAAACAATCTCTGCTGACTCAAGGGGCAGGATAAGCAGCAATGGTCTTACATTTCAATAAAGGAAACATAGGCTGGATATGAAGAAGAACTTTCTAACTATAAAGCTAGTTAAGTATTGGGATAGGCTCCCCAGTTTTGAAATGCAGGATACATGAGGACATGCCTGGAATGTTTTAGGAGGGATAATCGTGGGCAGAACCAAGATCATGGGGGATGCAACCACAGCCACTTTGGTTGAGTGGTGGATGCAGAGTGAAGAGAGCAGGGGCTACACTGCCAAAGGGGCCTCTGATCCTGGATGCCAGTGAGCTCTCAGAGCACACTGGTATGTTAGCATAGCTCCTGTTTGGAGTTTACATGTGCTGGCAGTTTATAAGCCCATCACATGGGGTCTGCCTAGAGTCTGTACCTTCAAACAACTCTGGAGTGCAGGGGGTGAGTGTTGCCATTGTTAACCCCTCATTGCTAACTCTTCCTCTCCCCACCCTCCCATCCAATTCAGCAGGAGATAGGTGGGAACAAGTGGTACGCAGCCCCTGGGCTCTGGAGCTGCATGAAAGCAGGGGGTAAGTGCCCCTCTTTTGCCCTGTTGATGATTTTAAGAGGGGAGGAAGAAGAACAAACAGCAGACGTACTCACCTCCTGGGCTCCAGAGCTGCTTGAAAGCAGGGATTGTGGGCAGACCCTGCACAACCAGCTGGAGAGCTTATAGAGCCTGTAGAGCTCACAGCAGAGCTCACTGAGCATGCATCACTAACCAAAGTGGAGTGCAAATATGCCTCTGCACCCCCTCTGGATCTGCCCGGGGATGATCCTGTCTTGAAGTTGCATTAGGTGACATCCTGAGGTTCCAGCTAGTTTAGCAGTTCCCAATCTGTGGGACAGGTACCACCAGTGGTACACAGACAACCTGTCAGTGGTACGCGGTAACAGATTTATTGTAATTATTTTATATGACATAAAATTGCTGGTGGTACTTAAGGTTGTATCACTTTAAATCAGTGGTGCACAATCTGTAGTAGTTTGGGAACCACTGGTCTAGTCCTATTTTTCTCTGATTCTTTGGTAGGACCATGCACCTCTGAAGGAGGGGTGAGCCCCTCTCATGGACCTTTGCATCTGCAATAAAATGCAGGAGAGGAATTTATAGTGTGAGGCATAATAGAGCTTTCATTTCTTCTCATCTCAGCTGCTTTCTGTAGGTTATATGAATAACTGGGCTTCTTGCCAGGGGATAAACAGCAGTTAGGTTGGAAATAAGTGTAGTCTGTGAGTTTAATGATGGAAGTAAAATGTTAGATACCATCATCTATAGCAGTGGGGGCCAAACTTTTTGGCAGGTGTGCCATAAATTAGCCCCTCACCCTCTCTGAATTTCACTCCGTTCCCTTTCCCTTGATCTGCTTTCTGCTTCAAGCATTGTGCTTCCTACCTGATCTGCTACTTTGCTTTCTGCTCCCTGCCCTATCTATCTCTGTGCTCCCTGCTCTCTCCCTGTTCTGCTGCATGCCACACAAAAAGGCTGCCCGAGCAACTTGTGCCACTTGTGCTGCAGGTTGGCCACCCTGATCTATGGAGCTAGTAATCATGAAGATCTAGAGTTGGGATGTACCTGTCATTAGGTGAAGGTAGCCATGCTGTTCCCAAGTCCTGGTTCTTTCATCTCTTTTTTGCTGCACATCCCTGGGTACAGTGCAAAGGAAACTCCACTGAACACCAGGATTTCAGTCATACACTGAAACGTTTGCACCATATAATTGCTAAGAGGGCCAATGAGAAAAATCACATACAAGCTCTATGTTCCAAATTCTTGACAGTTTTATGACATGATAGTTACAGTACCTCTAAGTGCCTGAGAGAAGACAGGCCTGCCTCCTGCTTCCTCTGCTGCCCCTAAGAAATATAGCCCTCCCTTTTCCCAGTTCAACTTCCCCTTTCTGTCCCATTAGTCCATTAGCATTTTTAGATGCTGTTATCATGTAAAACATGCTCTCTGCTGTCTGGGGCTCTCTGTTGCTTCAGACATTTATCAGAGGTAGACGTTTGGTGAATAGTTGCATGTTTCCTTGGTTGCATAGCCTGAACTGGACACTGAGCCAGGCCCTGCACTTCCCAATGCCGCCTGTCTGCTTTTAATTTGCCCAGGTGTCCCCAGCCTACCCACTCAGATTTCCTTCAGTTTTTCTCCCTCCCCTTACCTGGAGTGTGTTCCCCAGTGACAGCAGGGGTGACATGCTCCTTAATTTTAAACCTCTGAAAACCAGAAGCTGCAAATTTGGATCACTCCGAGGGCAATCCCCCGAAAGCTTCAGTTCTCCCAAATGAAAATTCAGGTTATGCATGAGTAAAGACTGTGGGATTTGGTCCTTAGTCTCACAAGGCTTTGTAAAGGAATAAGGCCAGATCCAAAGACCACTTAATTTTTTCTGGAGTCTTCAATAGACTTTGGAGTAGGAATTTAAAGAAATGAGCATGCAACAGAATTGGAGAAACAGTTGTGCAGTATGGTTCTGGGCTGGAGTGGAAGGAAGTGGGTGGGAGAGAGACCTTACTGAAAAGCATCGTCTCCATTGTTCCTCTTGTGTTTGCTGCGGGGGGAGCAGTGTAAGAAGCAAAACATGTAGGCAAACAGTGCAGCAGATGGTGCAGTCTACTACTGAGGAAATATTTGAAAGGGTAACTAAACTATGGTTGAGACCAGCTTATAGTTTACACTGAATGCAAAATTGTACACACTGTTTTCAGCAGGTTGCTGCCGTTTTCCTTAGTAGATACCAAACTTTATGGATATTATGGTGTCAGCATCTTCATAGTGGGATTATAGTGGCAGGCACTCATGTACATTCATTGACTTGTCCTTTCTGGGCAGATAAGAGTGGCCAATATTCTCTCTCAGATCTGATTTATCCTCTCCTTGTTCTGGCAGTGAGTGGAGTTCAGGTGAGACAGTAGCCCACTCTCATCAACTCTTATCAGACATGACACCTATCCTTCTGCTAGGCAGCTACAAACACAGAGATAGGGGGAGTCCCAGTCTCAAAGAGTTTACAGTCTAAACACACAGTGAAAGACAAGGGAGGGAGAGTTGAAATGAAACAGCAAAGGCCCCACGCAGGTCCTTGGCACAACTGAGAATAGACTCCAGGTGTCCTAAGATCCAGTTCAGTTCTCATTTCTTTAGACCATACTGCCTTTCATGGGAGGTCTTGTGCAGGTCTTTGTCAGTAATGTTTCAAAATGTGGACAGAAACCAGAAAGGAACATACAGAGCTGGAGATGTAGAGGGTGTATGGAAAACTGTGGCTTTTTACTCAGATTCATATTTTGATTAGACATATGGGTCAAATGCAAACATCATACTTTTACCAGTATACTGACTGGAAACTAGTCTATACCCATAACAGAAGTCTGGCACACAGAATGGCTTGAAAATGGCAGAACCCAGTCTAAGATTTGCGCTTTCCACCAAAGGGTGAACATGTGTCCTTTTCGCCACAGATCTAAACTATGCTGCTTACAGAAAACTGTGTAACTTAGATTAATTCTGCCTTGGGGTTTTTGAACTTGGGCTTTTCCTTGCCAGTCTGCAGGGTTAACTGTACTCTAGTTTACCAACTCTGGCATTAGTTGCAAACAGAGTGTGCCTCACCATGCCAAGGGAGGGTGTCAGTAGGCTAAACAAACCAGCTTAAGAAACCCTACCTTAGAAATAACTTTATCCAGAAAAGGCTGAAGTGCCAGAGGCTCCTTAAAATTTATTAGCAATGTTGCTATTGTTATTCATTGATAGAACATGCTCAGTACTGTGATGATGGGTGCCGGTATGAAACTTTGGCAGCAGGAGGGCAAGCTGTCGGAGGGCTGAGCAATCCCTGACTTGGGGAGTGGTGGGGGGATGGCAGGGTGGTGTTTCCCTCCGCGGTGGCAGTGGTGTCTCCCAGGTGGCACCCGCCCACAGGCACCTGGCCCGGGCAGTCTTGGGGGGCACCACAGCCCCAGAGGGAAGCACCAGGCCCCCACACAGCTCAGGCAGGCAGGCAGGCTCCGAGGAGGAGAAAAAAAATTAGGATCACCACATCTTTTTTTTTTTCCCTTTCAGTGGAGCCTGCCTGCATGGGCAGCAGCTGTAAGGGGGCAAACTAAAACACCTTGAGGCACTGGGGTCCTTGAGGGCAGAGGAACTCAGTGTCCAAGACGAGTGGTCGTTCCTTAAGGAAATGATACTCAGGGCCCAAGGGGTGTCCATCCCGACAAGAAGCAAGGGGGGCAGGATT